AATAGATTTAAATAGATTTCATATAATTCAGATATTATTACATTTGGGGTTCCACATTATTGGAATTCTCTTAGGGATTTGTTTGGAGAGGTTGCTTTTGGTGTGTGTACACAAAATAGAAAATCAGCAGTAAAGAATCAACAAGAGCTTTCTGGTGCAGCCGTCAGAGCTGTTTAGAGGGCAGTACACTGATGTGATGCTTTCTGATGAGGGAGAGAGAGGCTATGAAATAAAACCTGGTTCTGGTCTCCTGACCATTATGCTGGCCTAGCTGAAAACATTGTCACAGTGGCTCTGATTTGATTTATTCTCGTGACACAAGTCACTTTCAAAACAGTCATGTGGCTAATTTGTAATGTGATTTGAAGCTGGCTAAGCTTTTTGTTTGTACAATGTTGTACTGTACACGCCGAAAAATAAAAGTGCCAAAAGTTTTTTATTTTTTTTCATTGATGCCATACAAGAACCATTTTGATTCCCTCAAAGAACCTTTCAGTGAATGGACTGTTAAAATGAGTCCAAACAGCTGAAAAAAGCATCACACTGATCCAAAAGTAATCCATACGGCTCCAGTCCATCAGTTAACATATTGTGAAGTGAAAAGCTGTGTGTTTGTAAGAAACAAACCCAAATCTGTCATTATACCAGTCCAGTACCAGTCCATAATCCATAATAACACTTCCTCCAGTGAAAATGTCAATCCACTGTTAACATGTCACATCAAAATCTTCCAACATATTAGTTTTGAACTGTTTTCCCTTGTGAATGATACTTGATCCGTGAATATTTCTCTCCTGATTCAGACAAAACAACATTTTCACTGGAGAAAGCAATTATATAGATAGAGGACTTGAAGGAGTGGTTTGAAGTTAAAATTATTGTTTATTACAAGCATGCAGTTTTTCACTTCACAAGCCATTAATTGATGGACTGGAGTCATGTGGATTACGTGTGGATTATTGTTATGTTTTTATTAGCTGTTTGGACTCTCATTCTGACGGCATCCATTCACTGCAAAGGATCCATTGGTGAGCAAGTGATGTAATGTAAAATTTTTCCAAATGAAGACACAAACTTGAGTGAGTACATTTTCAGCAAATTCATTTTTGGGTGAACTTTTCTATTAATGGTTCATCATGGAACTGTAGATGCCAATAAAGAATGTTTATTTTCTGTATATGCCACAGAGGCATATAAGAGAAAATATTCTTCAACTGAAGCGCTTTGTGTGAATGAAAGCAAAAAAGAGAGGGGAAGAGAGAGAACAAAATGACCTGCATGACCATGTGTCTCATTTGTTCGATGGTCTCGGCATGTAATTCCTTCATGCTGAATTTTAATAGGATAATGTACTTCATGTCTCACACAGTGCCACACTTACAGGTCTTATAAACTACCTGTCAGAGGACATGAATATATAACACCATGAATCATGATGAAAAACTTCATCTGCACAAATCCTCAAGGATGGACTCCTATTTTCACACATATTTTTATACTCAAATGGAACTGGCTAGTACAGTACAACACATAGCATACTTGTTCTAAAAGAGAAAGGTTACTAAAAATGGAGCCATATAGTTAATATCAGTAATACGCAGCATGCACGATACAAGGAAATGGTCAGTAATGTCATAATTTTTCTGAGATACTGTTGTTTCTGATTTTCCTTATTGTGTACACATGAATATTCAATATTATAAATAATTGCTTAAATCCTGATGAGCAAAAACCTTGTTCCATAACTTTTATATTGATTAAATGTAAAACGTTTTTTTATTATTTTATTTACTTTACCAATTATTTTATTAATATGCCTCAAAGAATAACTAACAATTTAGATTTTTTTCCCATTTACTATTGACACTTACTGAAAAATGACGAAGGTCTGGATATATAATGTATTTCTATAATAACTGAATAGTCTGATCCATATGCAGTTTTATCTGAATTATCTGTGCCCTACAGCAAATTACGAAAATATATATTTTTTCTGTCTCATTGACGGAATACCTCCAGGCATTGCTATAATCTCATATTTGATATTGCATTGCATTGTATTTAAAGGAGGTCTATATTCATTTGAGACCAATTATTGCAGCTTACTTCAGTAGCAGACTCTTGTAATTGTTACACAGTGGGTCACAAAGGCAACTGGTGAGATCTGAACATTGACCTTTTTCTTCCAGGAAAGGAAATGTAACAGAAAAGAAATAGATTGCTAGTGTTTGACAAACTACTGAAAAAAATCAGCAGAACCATATATGCACTGTAGAGCAGTTTGACATGCAGTCATCACCATGTACACATTTGTATTAAATGCCTTAAAAAATAAACTTAGTATATAAGCCCATAATATAACCAGAATATTACAAATGCTACAACAAAATAAATTAAGTAAGTAGACTAACACTTCTGCCCATGATCTATTGGGAACTGTCCCCTGCTTGACACATGGAACCAATTTCACTGTAGTCCGATTCATCTTCATTTTTGTCCCAAACCATTCCAGGCTATTATTTATGGCACATACAGTGCTATGTCAGGGGGTCATGTGTGTGCGTATATCATCTCATTTTAAAGGGTAATTAAAGTTTACTCTGCGAGCCATATCCTGACTGCTTTAATGAACACTAACTGTCTGTCTCCCCAAAAATATTCGTTCCAGCAATTAAAGCAAAATATCAGCGATCTTTAGACCCAGCTGATAATTTATTTAGGTTATGCCTCTGCTCAAAACTACACAAATTTAGCTTTAAGACAGATCTTCTTATATCACTTTTCTTATATCACAGGGTTTGCATGACAAAGAATTGCTAGATTGATTTGTTATTTTGTGTAATAATTTAATATTTTGTTAAGAATGTAGTTCTAAGAGAACATCAAATGAATCACATTTTAGAAGTAGGACTAATTTAAAACGAAAACAATAGTGGTTCATCAAGACGATTAATTTTTTTTTTTTTGCCAAAACATCTGAAATGACTGACAGATAAAATTGAGCTGTTTTAAAGCAGAATCTTGAAATCTTTGCCTAAAACAGCATCATTGCGCCATCTGTTGATAGACATTGCAACTGCATGTGAGAATGAATGTCTCTCATGTCTGATAGATAGATAGATAGATAGATAGATAGATAGATAGATAGATAGATAGATAGATAGATAGATAGATAGATAGATACTTTTTCTTCCAGGAAAGGAAATGTAACAGAAAATAAATAGATTGCTAGTGTTTGACAAACTACTGAAAAAAATCAGCAGAACCATATATGCACTGTAGAGCAGTTTGACATGCAGTCATCACCATGTACACATTTGTATTAAATGCCTTAAAAAATAAACTTAGTATATAAGCCCATAATATAACCAGAATATTACAAATGCTACAACAAAATAAATTAAGTAAGTAGACTAACACTTCTGCCCATGATCTATTGGGAACTGTCCCCTGCTTGACACATGGAACCAATTTCACTGTAGTCCGATTCATCTTCATTTTTGTCCCAAACCATTCCAGGCTATTATTTATGGCACATACAGTGCTATGTCAGGGGGTCATGTGTGTGCGTATATCATCTCATTTTAAAGGGTAATTAAAGTTTACTCTGCGAGCCATATCCTGACTGCTTTAATGAACACTAACTGTCTGTCTCCCCAAAAATATTCGTTCCAGCAATTAAAGCAAAATATCAGCGATCTTTAGACCCAGCTGATAATTTATTTAGGTTATGCCTCTGCTCAAAACTACACAAATTTAGCTTTAAGACAGATCTTCTTATATCACTTTTCTTATATCACAGGGTTTGCATGACAAAGAATTGCTAGATTGATTTGTTATTTTGTGTAATAATTTAATATTTTGTTAAGAATGTAGTTCTAAGAGAACATCAAATGAATCACATTTTAGAAGTAGGACTAATTTAAAACGAAAACAATAGTGGTTCATCAAGACGATTAATTTTTTTTTTTTTGCCAAAACATCTGAAATGACTGACAGATAAAATTGAGCTGTTTTAAAGCAGAATCTTGAAATCTTTGCCTAAAACAGCATCATTGCGCCATCTGTTGATAGACATTGCAACTGCATGTGAGAATGAATGTCTCTCATGTCTGATAGATAGATAGATAGATAGATAGATAGATAGATAGATAGATAGATAGATAGATAGATAGATAGATAGATAGATAGATAGATAGATAGATAGATAGGTAGGTAGGCAGGTAGGTAGGTGGATGGATGGATGGATGGATAGATAGGTATGTAGGTAGATAGATAGATAGATAGATAGATAGATAGATAGATAGATAGATAGATAGATAGATAGATAGATAGATAGATAGGTGGATGGATGGATGGATGGATGGATGGATGGATGGATAGATAGATATGTAGGTAGGTAGATAGATAGGTAGGTAGGTAGATCGATAGGTAGGTAGGTAGATCGATAGATCGATAGGTCGGTAGGTAGGTAGGTAGATAGATAGGTAGGTGGATGGATGGATGGATGGATGGATGGACGGATGGATGGATGGATAGATAGATAGATAGATAGATAGATAGATAGATAGTGTAAAAGTAAAGACAGACAGACGGCTAGATACAGGGAAGTTACCATAAACATCATAGCTCTATAATAGCAAATAGACAAGCTGACAGCTAGGTGTATTAAAACCAAACCAAGATTTTATTTGATTTTATATATACGTACAAATGTATGTATGTATGTATGTATATCTTGTATTTTTGTTTTGAAGTTTTATACTTTCCTCCCCCTGGCAATTGTTTTTTGTTTGTTGTAATTTGTCCTTCTATCTTTTTCTTTTCTTATTTTAATGTTGTTTTATTGTGTGTTATTGTACCTTGAATAAAAAAAGAAAAAAAGAAAGAAAACCAGACTGATTAAAATATCCACCGAGGATGTTTAACGCGAAGGAAGCACGTCATTGCAGGGCGGAAGTGTCATCTGACGTGGCACGAGGGGCGGAAACGCTTGTTTGTGTTTTGGTTCTAAAGGGGAAGTTGCGAGAGAGAAAAGAAAGGAGGAGACTTGATCGGGGTTGGTAAAATTCCCACTAACTGACCCCAATAACAAGGAAAACCTCTCAAAAATTTGAGCACTCCTTCGTCGGAAATCAGTTCACGCAACCTGTCGGCTGACATTCAGGTAAAAAGACACCGAATACCTCCGTTGAATGTGCCGTTTTCTGGTTTGGCGTATCCCTCAAGCTAGTTAGCCACTTTAGCTTGCTAGATTTCGTCAAACATGTTACAGGCCCCTTGTCCTTATTCAGCCTACATAAGTCATCAAACCTGAACTCTTCAACCTGATATATAACGTACATTATAACGTTACATGCTATTGTTCCTTAGCGCGAATCTATGTTTATAGTGGTATGCTTAGCTGAGGCATATGTCGGAATGCAGTATGGATGCAAACAGGGTGGAAATGCTGGAGTTAAACTGAAGTTGCTTATCAGCTTATTATATCGTCGTTATAATCTGATTTCTCAGAGGTATATGGCCGATCACTGTGGTTTAACAGACTTAGCATCTGACCTGATGTGAGCTGTCTTTGCGAGGTACAAGACAGCTTGTTCCTTGGCTTGAGGCTCAGGGGTGTGTTGAAAAATAGAGGAATTGTTTAAGTTGGGTGAACTTAAGTCTGACCAATGTCGACTTGCTCTTCTTATAGAGTGCTGTGGTGTTGATAATACAGGTTTATTTTGGGTAACTGATTCATGGACAGGATGACTATGTGTCAACCTTCAACAGAAATCACAGGTTGGTTTTGTTAGGCCTGTCATTATAAGACGACCACACTCTGACCAGCAGCAGTTGAGTAAAACCTCTCCCAGGTGATGGGACTTCTGCAATGTAATGACTTGTTTCATAAGCTGTGCTTTTTGTTTCGCTTTTGGAATTTTGTGTGTAAGCCTTGCCACTGCACTCTGAGAAAGTGTGAAAAGAAAATGTGGTTGTTGTATCAGCTGCTATACATACCAAATGGATGAAAACAGCAGATTTGGCATGCTTTGCGTTTTAAACCAGACATACCAGGCTTGCTTCTTAAGGAGTTGGTTTATGTCCTGTTATGCAGATAGAGATCCTGTTGTTTATTTAATGCGAGTGTCAAAGCAAGTCTTGGCTTCTCTTATAGAAAGATCAGCTTATGACGATGCAATGCCACAGCAGCCACATGAGCATCAGGGGTCTGTTTTTATGTTCTCCTATTTCACAACAGCAGTAACTGCAGTTTTGACAGGGAAAGTGTTTTCCCTGCTGTTTTTAGCCTTGAGGTCACTGCCACAGTAAATGTCTAAATCAGATTCCTTGAGTTTTATTACCGTCATTTGAGTTGATGCATGTATTGTATCCTAGGTATGTGTAGTTGCTCCGAAGGCTGAGGTATTTAATTGGGAAGTGACATGATGTTTCCCCAGCTTCTGAATTGTTGCATCAGGCTAAATGAGCATGCTTGTTTTGCCTGCTTACTCAGGACATTCTGTGCTAGAATGGGTTACCATGGATACAGACATTTATTTCTGCAAGGATTTTCAGCAATGTTAAATTATGTTCAATAAAACAATTGTTTTCTGTGTTTTTGATGCATGATTACAGTCTGTAGCAATATTTGGAATATATCACATCATTTATTTGAATATATTTTAAAATGTAATTCATTCCTGTGATTGTAATGCTGAATGTAGAACTGAATGATCCAGTCTTCAGTGCCACATCAGCTTTCAGAAAAGCATTTTAATATGTTGATTTGTAGCTCAAGAAATTCATTCTCATTTCTTCTTATACATGTTGAAAACATTTGTGCTGCTTAATACTTTTGCGAAAATGGTGATACATTGTGTTTACTTTAAAATATTGTTTGTTGTCTTAATAAACGACTATTCTTTTATTTTAAATTACCTCCTAAAACTGTAGTCATAATAAAACTTAAGTGTATTACTGAATAATTATTTTGAGTCATTTGAATCAATTTTTGTCATTGAATTTATCAAACTGTTTCACAGTCATGAATGATTAGATCAGTGTTTCCCAACCTTTTTTTAGTCGTGGCACCCTTTGGAAATTTTAACAAAGTTGTGGCACCTTAAAAAATTAATTTTTTCTAACTTCGATATGATAATTTGAAAAGTATAGATATTCAGGGAAGACAGGGAAGAACTGCAGAATATAATGTCATACAGATATTTTTAATATTATAAAAAAAAAATTGTCAATCAATGGTGGCAATCAGTAGGCTAATTTCTAATGAAGAGACCAATTTATATGACAGATTTTAATGTAGGCTTTTATACATATGTAAACATTATTTAATTACCATTATAACTAGCTATCTCACAAATTTTTGCTCACTCAGTGTTTTTTTTTATTTTACAGTGGGGTAATTTTGGTGCAGTAGCACGAGATAGCTTGATTTTGAATTGAATAAAAAATGACAAGTAAGCAGTCAGTAATAAAATAAGAAATAAAGAAAATAATAATGATAACACAAATAAAAAATAACGGCAGGCCTTCGAATTAAATAAATAGCTTTTTAGTTTTTCAGGTAGGTCTAACAGTAGGGTTTAGATATTTAACAAAATTATTATTTTTTTTTTAACCAATTATCCAAATAATGTTTAGTCCTAGAAAGCTATTATTATCAGAACATGCAAGCATAACATAGCGGTTAGCAGATCAATGAATGAGAGGGCAGCGTTACCAGAGTTGCCCATTTACCACACCCTGTTACAACACAGTAAGGCTATTGCAGACAGAAACAATACTGTACTTCATCGATGTTTCCTGTCGGCTCAATTTTTGAGTGGACTTTGCTGTTCCGATGAGCACGAACGGTATACGAGTGGAGCGACTGACCGGAGCACACACATGCATAGAGCGGGATAATACACAGAGCATCACACCATGTGAAAGTGAAACCTGAGCGGTGAACTCATTTTTGGCAGCCGGAATCTCGGTGCATCTCTAATTATTGGCGACGTCAGAAATGGATATTCTATAATAGATGCTTTTTTGAACATTTTAGCAATTTAAAAATATTAAAAAATGATTTTTTACACGCCACCCCTGCTCTCGACAGACGGCACCCCGGTTGGGAAACACTGGATTAGATCATACTGAATCAGAATGATTTTTAATAATCCTTACCAAACTTTTTTGGGACTGTTTTTAATTTAATTTAATATAAAAATGTTTAACTGATGTATTTTTTTTTTTTAAAAAGTATCACCTGAATGTATTTTAGTTTTTTTGTCTACTATAACCTTAAATGTCTTATATAGCTTCTTGTTGCATGATTTTTATTATTTATTGTTTTTGTCATGAAGATAGCCGTACTGCTGACATGGCATAAAAAAAGCAATAATCCTTACCCAGTAATGGCAAAGTCATAGAAATTCTATAGTGATTTATATTGTGAAGCAAAACAGTGTAATTTGCAGTGTAGTTGTCATAGACCAAGGTGTGTAAATCAAATTATTTTTGTATAATCCAGTGTTTTTAGTCTAAAAATGTGCATGTCTCAAAGCCAAAAATAGCATTTGCGTTACTAGCCGTTATCGCTATAGCCAAGATGAGCGATTCCCTGTTTGAGAGCTCTGAATAGAGAAAAAGAGAAGAAAGAAAAGATCTTTGTCTATAGTCAACATGAAAGTGCTCTTTTTCATTTCTCTTTTTTGGTTACATGTCCTGTGCAGCCAGTACTGGGACAGCTCTCAGTGTGTGTGTGACCGCTTAAAGGAGACGGGGTGATTGACGACTGTCATGGCCAATAGGGGAGGAGCAACACGCCCCAACGGGTCCAACGCGGGCAATAAGATCTGCCAGTTTAAACTGGTCTTGTTAGGAGAATCGGCTGTGGGAAAGTCCAGCCTTGTACTGCGCTTCGTCAAGGGGCAGTTTCATGAGTTTCAGGAAAGCACAATAGGAGGTAGGGGATTTTTGTTTTAAAATGTATGTGTACCTGTTTAAACATGTTCTCAATGACTTTTCTCCTTTGCTTCTAGCGGCCTTCCTTACACAGACGGTGTGCTTGGATGACACAACGGTAAAGTTTGAGATTTGGGACACAGCCGGACAGGAGCGCTACCACAGTTTGGCCCCCATGTACTATAGAGGTGCCCAGGCTGCCATTGTAGTTTATGACATCACCAATGAAGTGAGTAGATTTGTTTCTCAAGCACTATATGAACGAACAGTTGTGTTTTATGACCAATTATTGTCACATTTCTCTTCTCTGCTTCTGTTATTGTGCCATTCGTTTTCTTCACCTTGAAGGAGTCATTTGCAAGAGCAAAGAACTGGGTTAAGGAGCTTCAGAGGCAGGCCAGTCCAAACATTGTCATCGCACTGTCTGGGAACAAGGCTGACCTTGCCAACAAGAGAGCTGTGCACTGCCAGGTATACATGACTTCACAACAAGACCAGAGAGAAGTCTTTTTTTAAATGTTTTTTTTATCTGACCATTGCGGTCTCCCTCACCTGAGCCATTTTATTTCTACAGGATGCTCAGTCTTATGCAGATGACAACAGTTTGCTGTTCATGGAGACATCAGCAAAGACTTCCATGAATGTCAATGAGATCTTCATGGCCATTGGTAAGTTTTTACCTCATAGTAAAACCTAACAGTGATGATTTAAAGTATTTATAAGATCTTGTAAATGCAACGTATTCTTTGTGTGCCGAGGTGTTTTATTAATTAATAGATTATTACCTTTGTTTTTAATATTTATGTTGAGTCAGAAATGTTGATAATAATGAGAAATGTTTCTGGAGCACCAAATCATCATATAAGAAAGATTTCTGAAGCATCATGTGGCACCGATGATTTGAGTAATGGCTGCTGAAAATTCAGCTTTGCCATCACAGGAATAAATTTAATTTTAAAATATATAAAAATAGAAAAGAGTTATTTTAAACTGTAATAATATTTCAAATATTACTGTATTTTTTTTATCAGATAAAGTCAGCAACATTAAGAAGTATTAGTGTTAATTTCTTGTTTTGTTTCTCTTCAGCGAAAAGGTTGCCTAAGAATGAGCCCCCAGCTGCCGGAGTCAGCAGTGGGCGGAGTAGGGGCGTGGACCTCACAGAGACAGCCCAACCCACTAAGGCCCCCTGCTGCAGCAACTAACGCAAAACAAATCCCCCCTCACCAAACTCTGTTACCGCAACAACTAACGCAAGGTCCCGCCCTCCAACTTGGTTTTTGACTAACTAATGAAATGCCTCCGCTTTCCCCATTTTCCACAACTCTCTTACGCTGTAACAAAAGCTCTGCCCCGCCCATGTATCTGCGGTGTTTTTGTTTTGTTGTTTTTCTGTAAAGACCCAGGCCTCTTACTGTATTCATGCTTAAGGTCATGCCTTGTCTCCAAACTGTAATATATGCCGTCACAGATATCCATGAATTGCTTTGATAGGGGGTTGGAGTTATGTTTCTTTTTCACAAATGGTTAAATTATAATCAATGGTGGTCTTATAAAAATGTATGTAGTGTTATTAACCAAAAAAAAAAAAAAGCTTTTCTTTAGTGGTCTGTTTTGTAATTTTCACAAAAATGTTCACAAATGTTTTTGTCACTAAACAGTGTCCACATCAACAGATTATGATAGTTCTTCTTCTGCTTTTCTTCCCAGTATCGGACAACACATGCACTTTTAACATTCTTTCGATCTTCTACCTTTCAGGATTACTTTATATATTGTTTTATTTTTGTATTTTCAGCTAATTTAAAATTTTACTTTGTTTTAGTCATTTATGTGCTTTTGCCATTTTTTTAAATATTTTTTATAGTTATACATAGTGTTCATTTTATTTTACTTTTAATTTTAGTAATTGTTTAGTACTTTAACTTAAAATGATTTCAGTTAGTTGCAAAGGCAAAATTTCTATTTTTCATAAGAGTTTCATCTTATATTTATATTTTGTTTCATTTTCTGGTTTATTTCAATTACTAAAACAATTTTGTAAATAGTTCTAGTTAACAGTAGCAACATTGTCAAGCCCCTAAGCATACAACTGCTGTGTAACCTGAAGTTGGTTTTCCTTTAACATTGTTTAAACCCTTTTCATATAACTTTTGGAGGGGTATGCAAGTCCAAAGTATGTTTATTAAAGAGATGACCTTAGGACTAGGCCCTGATTGTATCAAAAGCATGTTATTCATGCAAGTGGCTTCACATCCAGATCTCTGCTAATAAAAATACTTTAAACCAGCCAGGCTTCTTGGCCTGGTCAGGCTGGTTTTAGAGAAGATTTGGGGACAAGTTTCGAGCTAGTCATTTTAGAAGTCAATGTCTCTACAAACCATGTCTGACGCTTTGAATGTATTTGACCTTGAAAGGATCTTTTAGAAACGTGACATATTTGTGTCCCTCTCCGAATCATAACGGGATGCTCATTTTGTGCCTCCCCTAGCGGAGACAAGGTAGATTTACAATGTCAAGTAAAAAAGCAGGGATGAACGCCATGTCTGATCCCGCTGTTGAGGGGTAGAGAGAGCGAACACAGCGGGCGGACTTCGAGGATTCGAGTCGGAGCGCGGAAGCAGGCTCGATGTCGGAGAGCACGGGGATTCCTCAGGGCTCCCCGGCGGTGGGCGCGGCGGGCTCGGCTCCGGCCGCGCCAGGAGTCGGTGGAACCGAGTGTTCGGGCGCTGCTGTCGGTTCTGCACGTATCGCCGTCAAGAAGGCGCAGCTCCGCTCCTCCCCGCGTCCGAAGAAACTGGAGAAACTCGGTGTATATTCCTCGTGCAAGGTACATTAGAAATGTAAAAAGATTGTTTACGTCTACAGTGCAAAGGAAAGACTCGCTTTTATTCGTTTATCTGATAGCTGAAACTAGCTCTTACTTTACACACTCTTGAATTTGCAAGCACAGCACAAAAAGCCATTGCTTTGTCTTCCATCTTTTTTTTGTATTTTTTCCATGTTTTGTTCGTGCTTTAGCCACTTAAATTAATGCACAACAAAATATATCACTGAACTCATCATTTCCGTGATCTGCAGAGATAACACGCTGTGTTTGCCCAGATAGTGGGCAACATGACGTGAACATTGGGTACTCTTGGCGGGTTGTCAATTAATTTATTTCTTTTAACAATGAACGCAGATTTTTCTATTGTATTTTGTCAAGTCAAACTAAAGTTTCATGGTGCTTTGGCGCGAGAGTTCTGCCAGAACGGGAGACACAATCTGAAGTTGATTACTCGAGAGGAGAGAGCGGCGTCTTTGTTTTGACAGGATGACAGCTGCTGAAGGGGCGGGGACTGTTGGTGGGGGCGGGGTCTATTGCTGGGGGCGTTGTCTGCTCATTGTTGGCAGATCAGGCACACGAAACATATGGAGGGCCAAATTACTCAAATGTTAAAATATTTAACTAAATCGATAAATACATAATTAAATTTTTAATAAAACATTACAACCATTAAATTACTTTAATGGTTTAAGGACCAAAAATAAGTGAATAAATGTCCATTGTATTTAGGTTTGCCTTCATTTTTCATTATCTTTGGATTGATTTTTCATTTAAGCACAGGCAGATTGTGGCTTTTAACTTTGTTGTGCAGGCTTACCGTTTTTGTATGTCACTGAACAATTAGTGGGCGTCACTTTCAAACTCCAGTGTGTTTAGGCATGTTTTCAACATATATTTAATGATTTAATTTTAAGTAATTTGGCCCTCCATCAGTATTGAAAACAGATTAAACATAGATAGAAATTTTCTATGGCCATTAGAAATTCATTTTTTGATATATGGATAAAATAATAATTAAATAATGTATGATTCTATTGGTTTCTGTGCAGTGCTTCAACATGTTTATTTTATTAGTATGAACATATTCCTAATGTATTGATGTCATATTTTGTGGCTGATCTGTTTCGTCCTCACACAGGCTGAAGGAGCTTGTAAGTGTAATGGCTGGAAGAGTCAAAACCCACCACCAACTCCGCCCCCTCCAACCCCGCCCAGAGCTGAGCAGCCAATTGCTGTTAACTTAATGGAGCCGTGTAGAAGCTGCAGCCACGCCCTCGGTAATGACTGTTTGTGTAATAATAGAATTCCGGAAGATAAAATCCCATTCCTAGAGTAATGAGAAATGGATGTTTAGTATAATCTATAAACTTTTACATAAGACCTACAATGAGTCAGTGTTGTTAAGCGATAATGTTTTCACATAAACAATTTACACAAAATACATATTTAAAAATTTTGCAATAAGCTTCAAATATGTGTTTTTTTGAATCAATTACTTAGTCAACAGTTTTATATTGTACTGTTTATGATTCAGCTACGTCAATGGCAAGGCTACTTACAAAGTCACAATTGTATTCTTTTGTGTTACTGGCCAGGTGACCATGTGACACACCTAGAGAATGTTTCGGAGGAGGAGATGAACAGACTGCTTGGAATTGTACTGGATGTGGAGTACTTGTACACATGTGTCCATAAAGAAGAGGATCCAGACACTAAACAAGTTTACTTTTCTCTGTTCAAAGTGAGTTCTTGTGGGTTTTTGCACATTGTGAAGTGGTGCTTATGTGCATCTCAGTGCGTGACTCCCTGTTATGGAAAGATTAAAAATATCAATCACTTAAGGTTTATGTATTACAGTTAATGTAATTACCAAAAATCTGGGGTCAGTATGATTTGTAATGTTTCTTATGCTTACCAAGGTTGCATTTATTTGATCAAAAATACAGTAAAGAGATTAATATTTTGAAATATTATTACACTTTTAAAGAAGTGTTTTTTATTTTAATATATTTTAAAATATAATTTATTCCTGTAATGCAAAGCTGAATTTTCAGCAGCCAATAATTAAGTCGTCAGTGTAACATGATCCTTCAGATTTCATGTTGATTTGGTGCTCAAGAAGCATTTCTTATTATAATTATGTTTAATATTTAATATAATTGTGTTGCTTAATATTTTTCTGGAAACGGTGATATCTTTTTTCAGGATTCTTTGATGAATAGAAAGTTCAAAAGAACAGCATTTATTTGAAATAGAAATCTTTTGTAACATCATAAATGTCTTTGCTGTAACTTTTGATAAATTTAATGCGTCCTTAAGTTGCTGAATTAAAGTATTAATTTCTTTAAAAAAAAACTGACCTGAAATTTTTGAACAGTACTGTATATTAATATATATTTCCATTCTGCTGTGTTTATTCTATTTGCTACTATTTGTCAGTCTTACCTACCTATATTTGTTGAAAAAAATTTAATGCGTCCTTAAGTTGCTGAATTAAAGTATTAATTTCTTTAAAAAAAAAACTGACCTGAAATTTTTGAACAGTACTGTATATTAATATATATTTCCATTCTGCTGTGTTTATTCTATTTGCTACTATTTGTCAGTCTTACCTACCTATATTTGTTGAAAATTTCTTAGTTGCTACGGAAATGCATCCTGCAGATGGGAAGGCCTGTGGTAGAAGCTCTGGAAAGCCCACCTTTTGAAAAACCAAGCATTGAACAGGTAGCTGCTTAAATTGCAAGGCTGTAATCACCATAGTTAATGAATAATTTACGTTCAGTATGGATTTAGTCAATGTCTCATTCTTCAACTTTTATTAAACCCCTCAGTCTGGAATATGGTAACAGTATTGGTAACAATATTTGGTCAACTTTCACATTCAAACATAATGTCAGTATCAGGAAGTGTAAAGGTGCAAAAACAGTTAAATCTCCTATGAGGTCAATAGCGTCTTTATGCTGAAACAGGCATATGAAACAGGCCATTTTGAGGAACCTCTGATATTATTAAAAACATTCCTGACATCCTTTGTTCTTGGTGTCACACATACATTTTTTTCATGTGTCGGTTTTGTTGCAGGGTGTGAACAACTTTGTGCAGTACAAGTTTAGCCACCTACCTTCTAAGGAGAGGCAAACCATTGTGGAGCTCGCAAAGATGTTCCTCAACCAGATCAACTACTGGCAGCTAGAGACTCCCTCACAAAGGAGGCAAAGAGCACCTGATGATGATGTGGCTGGTTATAAAGTCAATTACACCAGGTGACTTAGTTTTTGTGTTTAGGGTCACCCAAGAGAGGGAAACGAAACATAATTTTTCTCTTCCGTTTTGTACCTTATTGTCATTTAAAGATAACATGAAATAACAATTGGCCTTATTTGTATTTATGTTTAAAAGTGCCCATATTATGCTAATTTACAAGTCATGATTTTACTTTTGGGACTGCTAGAATACATGTACATTTGCATGAAGTGTTTTCTCCCTTTGACGCTAACTTAGTGCTTGCTTTGCAACTTTGCAGATCATTTACATGCACAGAAAGCTGTATTACACACTAAAGGAAAGGTGAAATTAAAAAAAGTCCTTTAATACATATTTCTGGTCTTCTTTGTGTTTGTGTTGCAGGTGGCTGTGTTATTGTAAC